GGCAGCACTGGAGGTCAATCGGGCAGCTGTGGCTCCAGTGCAGGGGAACTGGGCCTTGAAGGTAGGAAGTGCCCATACGCGTGTGAGAGGCAGGTCATGGAGGACCCATGGGCTGAGGCAGGGGGCGGGGGGGGTGAGACTCCCGCCAAGGACTTTCCCAGAAATGGTGCCAAGGGACCCGGAATCTGACCCTGCTGACCTCCCAGGCACCGGCCACCCAGGCTGGTAAGGGAACCCGGGATCTGCTCGGGCTGGTAGCTGTTTGCAAGGCTGCCTGTGGCCGTCGGAGGGCAGGGGCTTGGGGCTTGAAGAAAGCAAGCTCTGCCCCAATATGAGGAGCCTCCTGGGCTCCGGCTGTGGCGGTTACAGTATAGCCGGTATAGCCCATACGTAACAGGTGCTGGTGGCAGCTGCCAGCTGCGGGGGGGGGGGGGCGGGGCGCGCAGGGGTACAGCAGGTAGGAGTACCTCTGCAGGTCAGGGAAGACCTTACACGGGAGCCAGCACCCTCCCTGCTCCCAAACTACTGCCTCGGGGAGAAGGGACACAGCTTGGGGGCTGGGGCCCAACCTCAGCCTCCCTTGCCCTCCCTCTCCTGTCCATGCCTGAGGGGCCCGACGGGATACCCCCAAGTGAGCTGAGGCCCCAGCACCCATGTCTGCAGAAGCCCCCCTCCCCTCCCTCGTGGGCCCCGTCGAAAGTCTATTTTGAAAATGGTAAATGTTCCTCGCAGTAGATAGCAGAGCTATTTATCATGTTTATTCCCGGGACCCCCCTTTTATATTATATATCAAGAGTTTTGTAATATAAAACAACACCCACACTGATGGTTTTGCACTGGTTTTTGTGACCGTTTCTTACAAAAAGAAAAAGGAACGAAGAATAAATAGTGACCGTGAAGAAAGGTGGTCTTGATTTGGGGGCGGGGTGGGTTGGGGCAAAGGGGACCTGGGGGGACTGGGCAGGGGCATTCTGGGTCTCCCCAAATCTTTAGGATGGGGGCTGGGCCTTCCTCACTAGACTTGTGGGTCCCCTTGTCCCTCTCCCCTTGTCACCATCTCCTCCCCAAGGACTCCCCCTCACTCTCGCCCTGCACTGCCCCGCCCCCCAAGGCCATGTCTGCCTGCCAGAGCCCCTCCCTCCAGGCCTCACTGGAATGTTCAAGCAGCAGGAAGTGCCTGGACACTGCCCTCCGGTGGGCCCTCACCACACCCCGTGCCCTACACCCCGCACCCCAGCTGAGTGAAGTAGGTTGGCCAGCTCAGCCCTAGCAGATGCCGAACACAGAGCCCGACTCCAGAGCCCATGCCTCCCCTCCCTGCCTGCCTCCGGAGGGGTCTACCTGCCGGGCCCAGCGGTTACTCGGACAAACCACCACCTGCCGGAGAACTAGCCGGGCCTTCAAAGGCGTGGGCCAGATGGAGGGCATGGCCTTGGTCTGGGGCACTGCCCACCAGTCACCAACAGCACCTCCCAAAGTGGGCAGTGGGCAGCCTGCCTAGGGCTCTCCCTCGGGACAGGCACGCACTTCAGTGGCAGGAGATGGACGCCAGGAAAGAGCTGGCCCTTCCTTAGGTCTGCCGTCCCTTCGGCTCGGCCGTGGTCACCAGCAGCGTAGCCTTAGGCCCCTGACCCACCAGGCCTCTCTCCTCAGCTGTGCTGGACACTAGGTATGTGGCTGCAGGGATAGCTGGGCACAGGGACAGGAGTGTGCGGCCCAGGGTGGGCAGGTTCCCAGACACAGGTCCACCCGGCAGTAGACAGAGCCGGGCTGCACTAAAGACCACCCATCTCGCCCCCAAACACTCTCTGTTCCAAGACAGAAAGCGAGACTGGGCCTGGGCTACTGCTCTCCACACCCGTCCCCAGAACACAGGGCTGGAGAGGACAGTGCTGGGAGGGAGGAGGGAGTACTGGGGGACACACAGGCCGGGGGACGGGGGGGTCTGCAGGGCTGTTCATCTCTGAGGGAGCCAGGTGTCCACCTTCTCCAGGGCATCTGCCGGGCAGGGGGGCTGGGGGCGTGGAGGGACATGAGAGGAGGTGTCCCACTGAAATATTTCTATATTTTTCCCCAGCTGAGCTCGAAGGGCACCCAGTCCTATCCTGCTAGACCCTGGGGGCAGCGCAGGCTGGAGGTCCAGAGGGCAGCACCCTGGGGAGGGGGGGAGGGGAGGGAAGGGGAGGGACTAAGCCGGGTGAGCATCAGACCCTGAGACATGCCAAGTTCAGGCTTTTCTTCTCATCTCTAGCCCATCACTTAC